ACCTGTCATGGGAACTCCATGAGGTATAGGCACATCTGAGTGAAAGTGAAAGAAAGATGGGTCTGAAACTTGTGATGGAAGACATGATTCAAGGTATGAATGAAGAGCTGGTGTGATTTTTACATAGCTGAACACCTAAGCTAGCAGAGAGGAGCAAAGTAATGCAGGAATTCCTGGAGAAATAGTTCCTTGGAGGAAGTTAGGGAGTCAACACACACAAGCTTTGTCCACAAATAACCTCTGCTGTTGGAAAAGCTGGCTGAAAGATTCTGATGCACCTCAAGGAAATGGCCCAAGTAGATCTGCTCCAGAAGAATTGAGGTTCTGTTAACAGATCAACTTTTCTTCCTAAGTGCTCCCTTCCTCCCTTCCAAAAATTTTATTCCTCTTCTTTCTGTGTGCCACCTCCCTCCTGGTTCTGTTCCTGTGTTTCACACACAACTGAACAAAGAAAACTGAAGTTTCCTGACTTTGATCTGTTCTCTTCCATTACTCATCAGCCCTCTTCCACTGTCACAGTGACAGAGATTTGGTTAACGTAGTTGTCAGCAGCACATCTATGTGACTAGAACTCTTGGACGCACACATGCATAAATACAGATGCACAATCCTATAGACTGATTTACCTCTCCTCAGGGAGCAGAGGTTTCACTGCTCCCTGTGTGTCAGGCTCTGATGCTTTCTGTATCATCGGTCATAAAGCACAAAGAGTCAGATGGGTGAGCTGCCTGAGCTGCCTGTGCTGATACTGCGTGGCATAGCTTAGACTTAAATGGAGTGCTTGTGGGGAAAAAATAGTCTTCTCCTTTCAAACATGTTGAAAGACTTCCCCAGAAGTTTTCTGGGACTGCATCTCTCTCCTTCACCATAGCAACTCGTTCAACCTCAAGCCAGAGATAAATGAATTGATTAAAAAGACAAGCGGACAAAAGGGAAGAGAGGAGAGAGGAGGAGAGGGGAGGGTAAGAGAGGGGAAACGAAATAAGTTCAGCAAGCTGAAATGACTTCACTGATAATATTCTACACACCATAATGGTACTCCAGATTTACACCACTGAAGATGTGGCCATTTGAAATGCTAATAGCTGCTAGCAGCTTTTCTTATGTAGTCTTAGTAGGATAGAAACAATCTCATAACATATACCTGACTGTTTCTTAACCAGAGCTTAGTCTACACATTACCACCGCCCTGATTATTTCTCCTTCTGTCATTGCTCTAGGCTTTCTGCAGTCTTGTTTTTTGAGACGGCTGTGCAACTGAGAAGGAAAAAGTGCTGGAAAAGTATCCCCTGCTCTAGAAGCACTATGGCCATCTGTATTTATCCATCTCTTTTGGATTGTATCTTCCTTTATTTCTGTCATCTCCAAACACAGTCTTTATGCCAAACAATACATAAATCATGTTCTCACTGCTTTGCCTAGATACTGCAGACTGCTAAGTGGCCAGCCTGCTGTGCTCTCTGACCTCAGCATCCTTCTACTTCTGTTTGCTGATTCAGACTTTAAATCACAGTAGGAAACAGCAGCAAGCTGCGTTATGCAAAGGCTGCACGGCCATTGCATTGTGACAGGCCTTTGCATACCTCCAAGTGACCCATGTTTTTCTGAACACTTTGCTGCAGAAGTGAAGATGGAGATAACATTTAACAGTTTAGGATATGGCAAATAACTGAGACATTGTAATTCTGGGAGCCTGCTGAGATAGGCATAGTTTGGAGAGGATCTGTTACCTGGTTCAGCTACTACCCATACAGTTACAGAGGTGTGTATGCATTATGACCAATGGGACTGTCTTTTTCATCTGCTGTTGGATAGCACAGAGGACTTGATCATCTGGGAGTGAACACAGTACAGAAGTAACCTTAGGAAGAATATTTCAGTTTACCTGCTGTGAACACAGGCAGTTGTCAGCTCTGTTTCCTTAGCAAGCTGGAAAAGCAGGTATTCAGCAGTACAAACCTGTCACCTTCTGCCAATGCAATGTGTACTGATAGAAGACCTTCATCATTATCATTCAAGGCCATCTGTGGAGTGTTATCATTTGTGTTTCTTGCTTTGGATCCTTAAACCAACTTCCTTCTAACAGCCCTTCTGCACAGCCCTGATTTCTGTCTTTTAGCCTCAGCAAAACACAGAAACAATTGCAAACAATTGGTGTTATTCATTAGCCTTGTTTGTTGAGGCAGCTCGCCAGTATGTACAACAGCTGAATCCTGCCTGCAGTTATTCCTTCCTCATGCCATTCCTTTCCTTTCATGGCATTTCTGCTAAATCTTTTGAACAAGCTGAATTACTTTGTCAAACAATTTCTTGGTCACTGTTATAAAAAAAAAAAAAAAAAAAAAAAAAAAAAAAAAAAAAGAGGAAAAAGAGGAGAGAACCCAAGAGTGAGTGCTCACTCAGTTCTAACACAGACTCACAGACTTCCTCAATTAGACTGCAACTTGAGGTATCTGCACTGGTAGTTCAGCGACTCTTGACTGTAGACAACATACTACCAATGCATAAAGTACCGTTTAAGAATAGACAAAGTCATTCCTATTCTTTTATCTTAATTCTGTCCATGAAATAATTCACTTCCTGGCATGGGATAAAATTCTCAGAAATCACAGCATTGGCAGTAATATATTTAATATAATTTGATTGTCCAGGGAGAAGATCTTCAAACTGGTTAATGTACAACATTTGTTTAAATTTTTATATAAGATTCTAATGTTTTCATATGAAAAGTTGGATCTTCTTTTAGTTATATAAATTAAAAATTTGAATGACCATTTGAAATAAAAACTAAAATTTGTTTTAGAGGACTGTCATATCCTGGTTTTTTTTTTTTCACTTCTCTCTTCCAAAAATGTACTGAAGCATGAAGCATAAATATATTTTCTGCAAATAGCTTCTCTTCATGCTAATGAAGAATCCCAATTAAAAAAAAAAAAAAAAAAAAAAAAAGGCTAAAAAAAATTGGAAAAGTGCTATACAAGTCCCATCTGTGCATAAAATATATTATGGGTCAGCAAAGAATAATATAATTCTGTGATTCTGAAAGGAACTTGCTCACAGCTTTGTGGAGACAAATATCTTAAGTATTAGCTTTCTGTTTGTATAAGCTATGAACTACAAATTAGGCATAATTAAAAAAAAAAATGATGCTGAGGGGTGGAGATCTTTGATATGATCATGGTAAGGAATTCATAATGGACATTCCCAGATAAATTAATTAATAATTAAATTAATATTATATTCATTTTAACCTGGTGTAGTTAGAATTTACATTGCTGAAGTGTTCACAAAGTTAAAATTCGACAAAATGATTTTTAAGAAAAACCTTAAAATATTGTGTTAATGAAAAGGGATTGCCCAAAGTACATAGAACATTTTGAAAGTGAAGCAAGCGGGATGATTTTTTTTTCTACTCTCTGGAAGATCTCGCAGCCTTCTTTGGAACATTTACTCAATTTTGCCAGAAGGACACTTATTTTTTCCACTGTTTTCAAAAGAAATTACTTTCTGTTCCCCAGGCTTCCAATGTTGTGGAGTTAAAGATCAATTCTAAGACTTGGACTTCACTCAAAATTTGTTTCAGGCCTACTGTGGTGGATTAATTTTGTCCAGACAACAGGTGCTCACCTCACTCCCCTTCCCCAACAAGATGAGGAGAAAATAAGATGAAGGACATGGAGTTCATGCATTAATTACCATCACAAGCAAAACAAATTTAGTTTTGGGAGAAAAGCTTAATTTATTGCTTATGAATAACTAAAACAAAACAAAACAAAAAAAAAAACAAAACAAACAAAAAAAAAAATAAACACCTATCTCCTACCCCTCTTGTTCTGAGGTTCAATTACAAATTCAGTTATTCCACCTTCTCCCTTGCCTGAGTGGCAGAGGAGAATGCACAACGGGTGTTGCGGTCAGCAGGAGAATGGAAAGATTGAAAGAACATTGCATTGGTATTCTCTTTGGTAATGGAGGTAGAAAAATAACTTAGAACAAATAGTAAGTGAAACCCAGCAGGTTGAAAGATAAATCTTTTCACAATACCTGTGTCTTTTCAGTTTTCCAAATTTCTTTGAATTAAGAAGTCATCTCAGAAATAATCAGGGCAGACTTTAATGATAGAGAATTGTAAACTTCAAGAGTAGGTGAGAATTCTTCACTGCAGAAGGCTTTTAGTAGAGGACTTGTTTATGTCCAGCTGGCCACTGTGATATCAAGGTGGGCAAGCTGTTCTCATTGACTTCTCTAAATGTATATTTTCAATTTGGCTGATACATACATTCTTTTGTTGTTGTTGTTATGGTTTACAATGTGAATGAAATTTCATAGACAGTACTGTGTAAAAAAAGGCATATTGTAATTTATACAGGAAGCAAGTAAGGAACACGTTCTGAAAATTCTTTTAAATGCTGAAAAAACTTTTAAATGCTCACTCACCTACTGATTAAATTAGTATTTCCAGAGATGGCTGTATTTGTTACGTATGTTCAGGCACAGATTCTGTTCTACCTTGTGGCCACACAAAACCGGTGGGGAGAAAAATCCTCTAAAGAGTAATGTAATCATTCATTAGTCATACGTCAAACTTTTCCTAGAAATTCAAACTGATAGCTAGCTTACATGCAGCATTATATTCAGGAAAACTTAAAAACAATGTCAGGCTTCTCAGAGAACCCTGGAAAGATGAGGTATTTACACACTGGGAGAATAGCGACATTGCCAGTCATCCTCAGTGACAACAAGCAGCCACGAACGATTCCCAACACTGTGGGTGGTGCACAACTGTCTTCTGGGGTGTCTTTTTGCATGTCTCCAGGTGCCAACCCTCCAGATGTAAACACTGTGTAGGAACTTAAGGGACTTTTAATCACTGACATCTCCTGGTGGGACATCACAGCTGGCCATAAGCAATCCAGGAGATTCCTGGAATGCACTGATGAATCCACTGATGATAATTTTATTCTCCAAGTGACAGAACAGCCAATGAGAGAGGTTCTATGATGGACCTTGTTTTTACCAACAGGGAAGGTCTTGTGGAGAATGTGGAGCTCAAAGGCAGTCTTGGCTGCAGTGATTATGAAATGGTGGAGTTTAAGATCCTTAAAGCAGTGAGAAGGGCACCAGGCAAGCTCAGTTCTCTGGACTTTGTGAGAGCAGGCTTTGACCTTTTCAAGGATCTGCTTGGTAGAGTACTGTGGGATAAATCTGTGGAAGGAAGACACACCCAATCAAGGTGGTTAATATTCAAGGATCCCAGCAAAAAAGGCAAGAAGTCAGGAATAGATATAGTCAAGATAGTCAAGAGACATGAATAGATGAACACAGAGCTCCTGGCCAAATTTAAAACAAAAAAAAATCTACCAGAGGGTAGAAGCAAGGACAGATATCATGGGATACAAAAACTTTGTCCAAAAAGTCCAAGAGCTACTAATCAAGTTGAGGAAATTGAAGACCAGGTTGAATTGAATTTGTCCAAGGACATCAAGGGCAACAGGAAGGGCTTCTATAAGTATCTCAGTAATAAAAGGAGGAGTCGGGGAAATGTGGGCCCTTTCCTGAAGAAAACAGTAGACCTGGTTACCTGGGACAATGAAAAGGTCAAAGTACTGAATGCTTTCTTTGCCTAAGTTTTTAACAGCAGAACTGGTCTTCAGGAATCCCAGGTCCCAAAGCCCAGGCTGAATGGGGGAAGAGGACTAGGTCAGGGAATACTTAAAACTGAAAATTTACAAGTCTATGGACCTTTATGGGATGTATTCATGAGTCCTGACGGAACTAGTTGGTGTGATTTCAAGGCTACTTTTTATTATCTTTACTTGATGGCAAGTGAGAGAGTTTCTCAAAGACTGGAGGAAAGCAAATATCACTCCTATCTTTAAAAAGAACAAGAAAAGAACAAGGGAATACACCTTGATGCTTGGGAAGGTGATGGAATAGCTAATCCTGGAAATCATTTCCAAGTACTTGAAAGAGAAGAAAATAATTGAAAGTTGCCAGCATAAATTCACCAAGGGGAAGTCATTCCTGACCAGTCTGATAACCTTTTGTAATGAAATGGATAGATGAGCCTGATGTATGAGGGAAAAGCAGTGATTATTGTCTTCCTGGACTTAATTAAATCTTTTGGCATTGCACCCCATAAGTTCATCATAATGAAGCTGTTGAAGTATGGGCTGGATGAGCAGACAGTGGGATGAATCAAAAATTGATCGAAAAGCTGGACCCAAAGGGCAGTTGTCAGTGTATCCCAGGGATCAGTACTGGGTCAAATCCTGTTTAACTTTTTCATTAGTGATCTGGATGATGGTAAATAATTTTTTTTTTTTTTTTTTTTTTAAGTTAAAAAAAATGCAAAACAAAACTGAAGGGAATGACTGACTCATCAGTTGTTCATGCTGTCACACCTAGAGACCTTGACAGATCAGAGAGGTCAGCTGGCAAACACAAATACAGCATCTGATACTAAATTTTGTGGAACTAGACTTTGAGAAAAATGTGAAATTATTCTCATCCTTCACATGTTTTAGAGGTAATGCAATTTTTTTTCCCATCTTCAGAAAAGCCAGAGAATGAAAAAGGCCCATTATATTTTTTGGTTATATAGGTATTTTTGAAGTTCTTTATTAACTTAACACAAAACTTTTAATGTGAAGAAACTACAATGCTTGTTTTCATTATTTTGTTCCTGTTACTTTAAGACTCTCCTTTCAACTTCATCTGAAGCAGTTTCATTCCTAAAGAATGCCACTTTTCCGTGCTGCAAAAAATTACAGCATTGTGTTTTGATTATAGAGCATTTAATTTTAACACTGAGTAACCAGAGCTGACCCCTTCTCAGAAAGAAATGCTTTTGATGAAATTACATCTTTCTCCAAGGAAGAATATTTTTTTCCAAAACATAAATTACATTCGGGTATTAAATAGGTACTGGGAGTTTATAACTGCTTTTCTTCATGTTACAGCATCATGACTGGCAGCAAACAAGAAAAACACATTTTTGCACTTTCAGCTTTTGCCAGTAAGTTGGTACAGTGGAATCTGTTTTTCTCTACTGGTCTTTCAAAGTGAAGATTTCTCTCCCAGGCCTCTATTGCTCTGCACTGCAGCTGCCCGTAAAACTGGCCATACATTGTAAAAATTTAAGGTCAGTCTAGCACCATGAAATTCAGAAAGAACAATCAGTAAAAACTCCGTGAGGAAAGACAGAAAAACAGGCTGACAAGTATAGTCCTAATTCTTTCCTATAATTTAGGTTTCCCTTAGTCAGAGGACACAGTTGCACTTGAGTGATTGCTTTTGTTCCATAGATTCTGATCCCTGGATGTTTATTCAGTAAGTTCACAAGCTACAGAATCCACCAGCAATGAAATGATACTTGAAGTAAGAAGGAGTTGCAGATGACTGGTGGATTACTGTGATCTGTGTGGTCTTTATACTGCTTTTCTCCTCTGTCCGGCAAAGGAAAGTCCTGTGTGCAGACAAAAGATGCTGGGGAACACCTGAAGACATTAGGTGTAACTTGGGAGAAACACTTGCTACGTGTGTCATTTCCGCTGCAGTGCTGGCTGTGTTGGATCTTCTTTTACAGCATTGAGCTCTGTGGCTGTGAGCCAATCAGACGTTTCCTTAGCCTCAGATAACACCATTTGTCTCTCTTCCATGAAGTCTGATTTGACTGGGCATTTGACTAGGTATAAAAATCATAAGATGTCATTAATGAACATTTTGCCTTGGAAGAACTGGTTTAGAGTATCACTTGATACTTTTTAAGTTACTGACTTCAGTTTTACAGAATGTCATCCTAAATATGAATGATGATGGAGAAAAGAACCAAAAATATTGCCTTTGTTCAGAAATGTTTAGAAGTTTCTTGTCAAAACGCAAAGCATCTGAAGTCAGAAAGTCGTGACAGCAGCAAGGATTTTTCTATGCTTCACTTATGAATATTTGGGCCCTTCTTTATGGGAGAAGTGAAAAGAGCAAATTGTGAAAAAGACATTTACTTCATGTCTGCTCAGCTGTTCTGTACTATTGATAATGAGAAAATACTGGATACTTTGTACCAACACAATTCTTTGATCCTTTTGAAATCATACCTAATTTTCTTTTCAGAGAGGCCTGTTCCTGCCAAATGTTTTGCTCACATTTGCAGGATTTTAAATTGGTTAGTCAATTTATAGTTCTTATATGCTGAGAGCAATCTTAATTCCTCTATTAAAATTTAAGCAGAAGTTAGGGAGTGGCTCTAACACAGCAAGAATCTTGAAGCTGACAGCTGCTTCAGCAAACCTGAGTGCCCTTCCCTTCCTCATGGAGGTCAAATGCTTCTGCTGTAGCTGAAGTGATTTCAGTAATGATGAAGGCAGCTTGAATATATCTTTGTTGCTGTAGATTTACATATGACAGTTAGACCTGATTTTGGTTTTGTCATCTATCACTATTATCTCAAAAATTTCAATGCAAGGACTTCTGCATATACCACTAAAAACCGAGAATTGCTGAAATGTATGAGGGCTGAAGAGTGATAAGAGCTGGAGATACAGGAATTATTTTCCTTGGACGTGACTCCAAACTAGAAGATGGAAAGAAAACCTGAGTCACTGTGGGAGTAGAAATACTACAGCACTTCTCTCCCCAGTCTCATTCACTCAGGCATATTCTTACTCCCCTATTAAATTTAAAAATTTGAATACAAAGTCATGAAATGGAATTCCGGTTATTCACATAAAATCTTACTTCCATGCCTTTAATTCTCATTTAAAGCAGTGAATTTCAGGTATCCATTATGCTCACAGGCATAGGAATGTTTCTCTCCAGTCAGGATGTGTCAGCTTTATGTTAATACATGTAGAGTTTGGTATGCCAATCAGTGTCTTACGAAGGTTTATTTTTACTGAGAGGTCTTACCCCATCTCAGTCTGTCTAGAATTGTCATTTTTATTTCAGTCTGCCTGTCTGTCTTAACCACTTCGCTCTACATTGTTGATAATTAGCTTTTCCTGAGAATGAGGTCTTGCCTCATCCATATTATTTTATTATAAAGTGTTGCAGATGGAATTTCAAAATTATTTCAGATGAACATAGAATCACAGAATGCCCTGGGTGGAAAAGGACAACAGTGATCATCTAGTTTCAATGCCCTTGCTATGTGCAGGGTCATCAACCACCAGACCAGGCTGCCCAGAGCCTGGCCATGAATGCCTCCAGGTATGGGGCATCCACAACCTCCTCGGGCAACCTGTTCCAGTGTGTCACCACCCTGTGTGAAAAACTTCCTCCTAATACCTAAACGTCTGCTTAGTTAAAACCCATTCCCCCTTGTACGAGCACTATTCACCCTCAAAAACAGTCGTTTCCTCTCCTGTTCAAAAGCTCTCTTCAGGTTCTGGATGACAGCCTTCAGCATCAGATTTAATAGGTAAGAGAAAGGATAGGATTAAGAATAGTAGAATACCATTCAGAAACTGACTTAACACACAGCTGGTACTGTCTTTGTCAGGCCCATGGTTCGATGGTCCCAAATTCTCTCCTGTATTTGTTTCTGAATGATGTCAGCATCTGACCATCTTGTCTTGAGAGTACTGTCTGTCCACTGGGCTGTATTTAAGGGACAGCTGTTAGAGATGGTAATTTGGGTGTCTGCGAAACAGAAAAGCGGAACATTTGCAATGGTGTGAATATTATAGAATATGAGGCACCACACACAATAGCTCTCTTGATCAGCCAGCCTGTTGAAAGGGTGACTGACAATGTGTTATCTTTTCCCTACAGTATGGGATAAAGAAGAAGGAGGAAAAAGAAGCAGAGGCCCAGGCTGCACTGGACGCTAATGCTGAAGGAAGCCTGACTCGTCCAAAGAAGGCTATTCCTCCTGGTTGTGGGGAGGAGGAGGAGGAGGAAGAAGAGAGCATTCTAGACACAGTCATCAAATACCTACCAGGTCCCCTGCAGGACATGTTCAAGAAGTAATAACTGCAGACTGCTAGATGGGCATAAACAGTACTGCAAAGGATTTATCTTTTGCCCAATGGGGATTTACAATCTTACCATCCATCACGCACCTCTGCCCTCTAATGCTCACTAGGAGTCCTTTTGCTTCCCATTCTCCACTGCCTCTTCCCTTTGCCTCTACCCCAAGACTCATCAGTCCTTTTTTTTTGTACATAGTCACATCCAGTAGATGCCTCTGAATGGATGTACAGATTAAAAGCTGCAGACTACACAACTTTTATTATAAGCCATAGTACTATGTATGTTAAATAAGGCAACTGTACATTAAGCATAGAAAAGGAACAACCTCACATGTATTTTGACCCAAAGCAAGAAGAAGTGTTCACTCAGTGTGAACAGTATCCTTTTTAGTTTTCTTTAATTATTATTACTGATAATAATTATTAATTATTTTTATTAACGTTCTTGTTGATTGGGTCACACTAGCCATTTGTTGTTGAGTACATCTACCCTTGGAAGGAATATCTCAGTTCTCCCACGGAAGCAGAGCTTTTCAGTTTTAATTCCATCACTGGCATAAATAAAAAATCATTTGGAAGCTAAATCATGCATGACTTACACAGCTGACATCACTCAGAACGATAGAAGAAGTGAGTCATCTGCCCTCAGATGCTGATAGAAGTTAAATGCCTCAGAATCTAAGCAAGAGTCATGTCACTTTGGTAATTAGCCATACACTTAACTTGGAAGAGCAGATTTGGTCTGACAGGTGCCATATAGAGAGCCAGAACTACAGTAGGGTGTGTGGTACTATTAGAGGACCTTTCCACTCCTAGGAAGTCAGTGACCAAGAATGTTGGCCTCTGATTAACTACACTTCCTCTTTCTGCCCAGTGCCATATTTGACAATCTCGTTCCCAGCAGTGCTTGCAGGAAAGGCATTTGGTCTCCAGTAAATTGTTATTACTGTATTCTACCCATCCTTCAATGCAGCTGTGGGAGAAAGTAAAAGTTAGACAAGACACTGGAGAGACAGAAATTCTAAGTTTCCTACATTTCCTGCTAAGTTGCTCTGCTGCCTTGGAGAGATAATTCATTTTTCTGATTCAGCTCCTTCAGCTGTTAAACTGAGCTTTCAGTCTACACCTACTGTAAAATGATGTAGTAAGGATGGATTGCACAGTTCTTTTCCAGTGCTTTGCAGGAGCTAATAAATATTATAGTAGTGTGTATAAAAGTATGAGAAAATCGCCCTCTTAACATTGTCTTTAATACCTTAGCCAGACATAGCTACAGATGTTTTCCAGTACAGCACAGTAAGCATTGAGTAACTAAATAAGAAAAGCCAAATTCTTCTGGAGATGTTGATTTGCTAGTACAACACACACTCAACAGATTTATTTTGAACACAATCCCTTGCTAAGTTTTCTGGACTGTCATCTGAAAAAGTGATCGTAGAATTTTTGTATTTGGCTACATCACTGTAATAGCTGCTGTAAGAGCATCACACCATCTCAGTCTCACAATCTTATAGGATAATCACAGAACCATAGAATCAAAGCATATCTTGTGTTGGAAGGAACTATCAAGTCCAACTTCACTGCTATCCCAGGTTTTTCTTACACTTAAACAGGTTCACCTAATTCAATGATATGGTATTTCTTTTTAGAAAAGGTAGTTTCCTTTCCTTGAAGGGTGAATCTTGGCCTCCCCATTAGTTTTTCAAAATTATAACATTATGACACTGTATTAAAGTGGTAGGAATCTACTGACTAAAAAAGGCGGAGAACTTGTAGTTCACCAGCATGCATCATGTACAGTGGAAAAGTACCATCTCCGTGTCTTCATGGTTTGCCTCACAAAAGTAGAACTGTTTACAACAACAGAAAGGAAAGCAATATCTCAGATTGTTTTCCTTTCTGCTGTTGTAAACAGTACTACTTTTGTAGTAGTAATTAAGCATTTTACCATAATGGAAATTACTTGATTCACTTGTTCAGAATAACTGACCTTAGGCAAATATTCCTGTACTTTTCTGGATACGGAATTTAAAGAGATATTTGTCATCCTTTCAAGTAAGTATAAGCATCATAGTTAAGGCAGTGAGCCTTAACTATGTAAACTAGTGTGAATTATGTGTTTTTAACAGCATCTTGTACAGTAGGAAAAAAAATACCGTGAAAGAAAATAAATATATTCATTTTGTCCTATTCTTATTTGGGTATATCAGCAGTCCTTGCTGCTTCCCAACTAACTTAAGTGGCAAGCTTCTATCAAATCTAGGGTGGAAGCTAAGGATGTTTAACTGATCTACAAGTCAAAACAGGCTGATAAAAAAGCAACTTGTTCTGGGTTGGATCTACAAACAAGACATGCAAACTGCTGTGAGTTTTGCAGGGAAAGAATAAGGCAGGTTTTACTCTTTCAGATAATATCAGTGCTTTTCTGCCCTTTCATTTAGAGTGAAATGAGTGTGTCCCACTAAGACTTCAAAGACCCAGGACACTCTTTAACTCTGGATCAGTACTTGGGTAGTGCTGAGCAACATATCATTTTCTAGGGAGAATGTCCTACTCACTCCATGCAAATTCAGCAACTATTAAAGTAGCAAAGCCTGTTTAAGTAAATAAAATAAAGCTTATTAAGTAGATCTCAAACAACTCAAAACTCTCCTGCCACAAAGACAGCAGGTTTTTTTTTGATGCTCTGAGAGAGAATTAGATCCAGCACCCCTGAAAGCTAGAGAGCCTGGTTCTTTGCTCCAGCCATTCATTGGTAGTGAAATCTGTTGACACATTAACGTCACATCTTCTGAAACACTCTGACTGATGTGAGTGGTTGGTCTATGTTCCCTAATGCATAAGTCAAACCAGCACAAAAGTTCCCCTGCTAAAAGACATATATTCATTCATTTATAATCTCCCCTGGTCTTGTCTTGGAGGAGTGTACAAACAAACAACAGGATGAACTCATACTGCTTTGCTTTGGATTTCTCTAAGGTTTGTTTGTTGACCTATCCCTACCCCCCCATAATGAACTCATCTCTTCATCCAGTCAAATACTGCCCATGGGGCAGAAGCACGGTTTGCTACATGCTATCCCTTATGTTGGACGATACTTCCACACTTGTGTGTGGAAGAGGAAACAACAGAGGGTCAGGAGAGAGAACAGAGGGATATTTGATATAATTTTTTCTAATTGTGCCTCAACAGCTGCGCCATTGACTGGTCTAAGTCAGAATCTTGTGTAGCCTATGCTCTAATGTCATAAGCAGGTAGCATTGTTCCCACGCTCAAAGTATTAAAAAAAAGGTATTTCTTTTTGTGAGTTGAGCCCATGAATGGTGTGTACATCTAGATCCAAACTCTGAAAAATGCTGTGGGAACACTGTGTGGAGTTTGTTACAAGCCAGGCTCACAAAGCAGGAGCAAAAGGGGAATTGGTTTATTGAATAATATTTGCTGAGCATTTTTCATTGTGAGAGCTTTCCAGCCCAGCCATGTCATCACTTCTGTACTTCAGCTCTTCCAGCCTACAGTAGACCTACTTCATGGACAATAGAGTTCAGCCAGTTGTGAGCTGCCAGATATGAATTTTCATTTTAATTTTCAATTTCTTTCAATAAAGAAACATGACAGAAGACCTATTACAGGCACTGGGCAGATTTTTCTTGGTTTTGTCTCAGATAACCTTTGGCACCTTGTATGAGTTCTGGGCCTCTCCCCAAGGCATTCCTTTGTCTCCAAAGTGCCTAAGCCACTCTGAACAGACTCGAAAGCAGGCACTCCCCCCTCCCTTGTGCCCATTCTTTCCCCTTCCCCTTCCCACCCTGCACTACCAACATGGTGCACAAGACCTTTGGCTGATGTATAGGTGTGAGAAGCATTGTTAGACACTATCCCCCTCAGCACACAAGCAGGCATTGAAGCACTTGAACAAGACCAAAGATAAGTATGGTTCATTGTTTGGATTCTGAATTTCTCTTTGTCATTCCATGCCATTGTTTCATTTGTTTTGCTGGTCTGTTCAATCTCAGGTAAATGAGGTCTTTTTTTCTTTTTTTTCTTTTCTTTCTGCCCCTTCTCCTCCCCCCCCCCCCCCCCATCCCCCCCCCCCCCGCCCTGTTCTTTTTTTGGGGGGGGCGCAGGGTTGGGTTTTTTTGGTTGGTTGTTTTTTTTTTTTGGTTGTTTGGTGGCAGGTGTTGATTAGTTTTAATTTACACAGAAATGTTGGTGGCTAGAAACTGCAGCCATTTTCCTTTGCAGTTCCAAGACCCTTCTGGTTACCAACAAATTCAAGGGGCCTCCATCTTTTGGAGGGCAAATGAGTTTGCCACTGACCTTTGCAAACTCATACCTATCTTTAGAGAAAGCCATATGAAATCAGACTGCAATATTAATTATGAATGATACTCGTGTTTAAAATAAATAAAATGAGATACAAGATCATGTGCTAGATCACTCTGGAGTTCCTCAGTCTATGTTTCTAGTACCATATGTTGGCTTATGTCCTTCCTAGGCCCTTTCCTTTGTCAAAAAACACCACACCAATGCTGCTTAGTACATCCTTTTGCCAAGCTTACTGTGCTAGAATAAGCGTTGTTAGAAAGCAGCTGTTGTGACCTCAAAGTAATGTCTAATGTATCTGAAACCTGTCTGTATTCAATCTGAATATGTTATCAAGATACTGTTTCTTCATGTGCTGAGTTAGTAAAATGTTTCAATACTGACATTAAAATATTGCTTGTTTTCTCTCTCTGTTCTCCACTGTTGCTCACACACATGCACAGAGCAGAAGTCAATCTAACAATGCATTTTCTAGTAGAAATACTTCTCAGCATTCTTTAAGATGCATGCAGTACTCTCCAAAAAGCAGCCAGAAGATTATTTAAAGTATAAACCTTGTGAATGTAAATTTTGTTATTTGCCTGCTACTTCTTCCTGCATGATGTAGGTAAATGATATGATGTTCTTTTAAAATGGAATCACAGACAATAAAAAAAAAAAAAATCATACATT